CTTTTTGAATTGACTATTTTTTTTAATTATTTTCTACAACAAGAAATCTCTCCGAAGGAGGTTGTACTAGACCCTCCACCCTTGTAGAGTAAATTATGGATGTCTGCAATCATCCCGTAACCAAATATATCAGTTAAACTCTAGAAACAGGGACACGAACCCAAGACGCCTGATTTTATGATTCACTTGAAATTCAACTCCGGATCACTAGACTATCCTCGTTTATTAGTGACCACTAAAACCCTCATGCAATACAGTAAATGGAACCCATCAGACAAGGTCATCTCCAGTTAAACCATCAAATCAATGAAACTAATCCGATCAGGACCCAAAGCGGGCAACATATTCAACCTCAAATTATATGAAACAAGTGAAAACCAGAGCACACACCCCAAACCAACCTCCAGAAGAAGTAGAACTTTCCGTTATACACACACACACAACGCAAAATCAAACATAACAGCATTTTTATACAAGTACACCAAAAAAATAAAAACAAAGGCATAACAGAGCACAAATATTTGTTATGAAAAATAACCCAAGGTTCAGATCACTTGTTTATTAATACATATATCGGTTTCCATGTGATGATGAGTTTAGTAGATTTTTCTTACTGTTCTTTATGACGATTCGTTTGAAGATGATTTGAAGGATCTTTTATGAAAAGAGTATTCTTTTTTTGCAATACCGATTTGCAGAACTTAAAGTGGAGTTGGACAGGGGCAAAACTTTTCTTTTTGTGTCATCTTTCTTCTTTTCTTCTTCTTTTTCTTTTTCTTCTTTAGCGGGTTAGTTTAAAAAAAAATCAACCCTTTGCCCAATTCGTTTACTAATTCGTATCTAATAAATCATGTCATATCAGGTTTATGTCATATATGATCGTATATAATCAGTATATAAATTAATCGTATCGTGCATTTCTTTTAATTGACATTACTAATTATCCGATTCGTTTATTAATCATGTAGTATTAAGTCCACTTATTTAATAACTCATTTAATTAGATTTAAGGTAGAATTAAAGACAATATTTTATTAATTTTTTGATGCTGCACATTCCATCAAAGTAGAACAACGCTTTTATTGGGAATATTTTTCGAAGAATAAATTCTCTTACCCCACCACCACATGCTCCTTCCTCCCGTCCCCACCATACATCTCCCCCCCCCCCCCCCCCCCCCCAAAAAAAAAAAAGTAATAATATTATAAGCACCAAATTCCTGGTTACCAGAAGTAATAATATTATCCTTTCATTTCAATTCCTCTCGTTAGATAAGTGATATATGTAAAATTTTGAATTTCAATGGATAAGATTTTTTTTCAGAGAAAATTTCTTTAATAATGGTTAATACTCCACCAATAATAAAATAAATAAAAAAAAATTTTGTCCATTGAAATTCAAAGTCTTATACATGTAACTCATCCAGCACTGTATTGAGGGAAATTGAAAGAAAGGGGGTAATAGAGGGGATCCGAATCCGCATAGGGGATAACTAGTTATAACCCGTACTTAAATGCACGATAAAAATATAAAATTTGAGTGCCTAAAAAAATTTATCTCATTATATTAAATAATAATTCTTTTTCCTTCATGTCTTTGATTATATCATTTAACATCTATGTTTATCTATTATTTTCTTAAAAATATCGCTATTTTTTTTTCAAAATACGTAATTTGACAAAATTTTCTCAACATATGTATACTATCGTGTATGAATAATCTTTAAAATAAAAATTATATTAAACTATAAATTAATCAAATATTAAAATACTTGGACATGTAATAGAAATGAGTGATGTGATATTTTTTGAGGAAAAAATATGTAGGGGATAAAATTCAACTTGTTAACTATCTTATTATATAGATTTGAATTAATTACCAAATTATAGTACTTTTTTAAAACACTTTATTTACTCTACTATTATTTAAAATTATTTTCAATTTATCTTTATTTATGTAAATCTTTAATTTGAAATTATATTTGCAAAATTCGCTTTTAGCAAAATCTTTTGAGTGCATATTTTACAAGAACAATGCTATTGAGACCTAATTTTACAATCACAGATTTACATTAAAATACGTAATTAAAAGTTGTGCTTTCATCGGACAATGATACATTTAAACATTAATCAAAATAACCTACTTAGCAAAATTATTTTCTTAATTATTAGAAATCAGTTATCTGAATATTTTACGATATAAGTTTAATAAATTTAAAAATTAACAACTTTTTAATAGTAAATAACTGTGACACAGTGCAGTGCATGAAATTTTTTAATCATTTCCCGCCACCATCTTACCAATTCTCCTTATCGCTGTTCCACCCCTATCACCACCCCTATCCTATTATTGAACAATTAGAAGGTAAATTAATTTATTAAAAAATAAATGTGAATTAGTTAAAAATAATGGTAAAAAAAATTCAAATTTAAAGTAGTTTTACAAGTTGATAGATCAATGTATTTTTATTAATTAATTCAAAATTATGAGAAATTTATATTTGAGGAGAGAAGACTTCCTGAGCATGCTCTATTAAATTAATTCCTATAATATATAGTATAGATTGATTGTTATATAGTATAAATACTATAGATGTAAAGAAAAGTTTGAAAGAGAATTGATAAAGGTAAAGGGTTATCTTTATTAAAAAGAAATCAAATTTAAAAGAGATCAATAAGAAGAAGCCACTTATACTAAAATTACAAAAAATCTAAATTGTAGAAAATAAGGATTTAAATCTCACTACATTTAAATAGTACATATAAATTTGGTCAGAAAGTTTTTCTCATCTTCTTATTCTTTTCACATTTGTCCCTCTCCCTCTCGAAACATTTCCTTTGAATATGATTTCTTTCTGACGGAAGGAAGAGTCCATTTCCTAATTTTGCTTAAAGGATGGTTCTTTTACGGTTTAGTTAAGGTTTGCATTTCAAAAATTATTTTTTTGTTTTTGAAAACAGTTTCCGAGAGAAAAGTTATTTGATTAACTGTTTTTTGTTTTTGTTTTATAAAAATTGATAATAAAAAGTTGATAAATTTAGAGAACAAATTAGAACTGTTTTGTGTGCTTTTAAAAATAGTATTTCCAGAATTTAGAAAATATTACTACGACGACGACCACCACTACTACATTTCTGTTTTTATTATTTTTTGGGTTACTGTTTAAATAAATTTTACTGTTTTCTATTCCGTAGAACTGTTTTTAGAATCATATAATCAAACAAATTTCACAACACAAAAATACCAAAACACACTTTTTTAAAATTCTTCCCAAAAATAATATTTGAATATCAAAATTTTTCAAAACTCCCGAAAATAAAATGCAGAATCTATGCAATTCAGGTTGTTCAAGTTTTGGTAGAAAACTAAATACGATAGATTAATTGTAACCAGTTCCTTAATCTAAAGATAAAAAATGATTACGCAATCCACCCCGTTGGGGCAAACAAAGCCATTCGCCCCTATCGGATTGGGAATGCAAATGTCATTTCTCAGCACGAAGCATGGAGAAAGAAAGGGCCGGAGACAAATCGAAATTCAAGGACCATTTTAGTTGTATGGTTCAATGTGCGTTTAGGTAAATTTATATGAACAAAAATGTAGAAATAACTATAAAAATTGAAAGTTTTCATATCCAGAGACAGATAGGTTCTATGCTTCACTTTCAATTTCCCTACCACTCTTCTTTGTACAACTGCTTTTTTATAGAATCAGTACTTAACCAATCAAGAAGCATTCAGACAATCTAGAAAGGCATCCAAATCTCTTTGTTTTAAAGCTAAGGACATGTCCATGAATGATCTACAACTTTTTTTTCAATTAAGTCTATGGTTCTAAAATTACTGCCTTTTGCCGCAAAACCCAATAAAATTATAATCCAAATGCGTATTATCCCTTAGATAAGTGAGTTTCATCAATTTTTTCAATATGACCCACTTATCCAACTTTCATCAAAAGGATGATACGTATTTGAGTTTTAAATTTTGGGTTCTATTTGAATTATGTAACATTTTTCTTTTTGAATTGACTATTTTTTTTAATTGTTTTCTACAACGAGAAATCTCTCCGAAGGAGGTTGTACTAGACCCTCCACCCTTGTAGAGTAAATTATGGATGTCTGCAATCATCCCGCAACAATGATATCAGTTAAACTGTAGAGATATTTAAGGAACATGAACTCAAGACGCCTGATTTTATGACTCACTTAAATTCAACTCCACCAAACTAGACTATCCTAGTTTATTAGCGACCACTCAAACCCTCATGCACTACAGCAAATGGAACCCATCAGACAAGGTCATCTTCAGTTAAACCATCAAATCAATGAAACTAATACGATCCGGACCCAAAGAGGGCAACAGTTTCAACCTCAAATTATATGAAACAAGTGAAAACCAAAGCACACACTCCAAACCAACCTCCAGAAGAAGTAGAACTTTCCGTTATACACACACACACAACGCAAAATCAAACATAACAGCATATTTATATAAGTACCCAAAAAAAAAAAAGGGCGTAACAGAGCACAAATATTTGTTATGAAAAATAACCCATGGTTCAGATCCCTTGTTTATTAATACATATATCGGTTTCCATAGCTTAAGCAACACAAATTCAGACAAACACATACAAACCCAGCACGTCATGCTCCAACTCCTGATTAACCCACATGGTAGGTGGAGAAGAACAAGAAAATAAAAACTAAACAAGACCAAAAACATACAAAAAGATCCACAAAACACAGTACTCATAGCCTAGCAAACAGTACTTGTATCATGCCTCTAGTTCTACTTGGCTTTAAGAACCATGGGAACAGGCAGCACAAAGACATGAACCCCGGTTGGACTCATGCACAAAGTGTACACATGAAACCCTATTAGATTCCCGCACAAACTCCTTAACTAGCATTTAGGAAAGGAAGATTTGATTTGCGATTCGGCATTTCCAACAGTGAATGATATAATCTCTTTCACTACCGAGTATAGTGAACGAGATTTAGCTTAAACGAAAAACATGACATTCTGGAGGTCCGGGTGCAGTTTATAGAACCTCTCGTTAAGTGAAGCAGCAGATGAAGAAGACGATGTACCAGAGGATGAAGAAGATACTGAAGGAGACTGGAACTCCATCACCACCTCTTGAAATATACGTCCCCTGTACGCGACAAGGTCAGCGTAGTACACTGGAGGAACAAGCGAGACAGGTTTGGTGCATCGAGCATAGGTGAAGCACAAGTTATATATCAGCCTCTGTAACTGATCAGACGTAAAGTTGTGCTCATCCCAGAGGACATAGTAGTGTGTAGGCTTGCTTGTCCCAAGGCTTCCATAGTGGCTGCAAAGATAAAAATCAAACTCGAAGGGATGAACAATGGTTGTATCCACCACTGTTCCTGGAGGCACATTGCCAGATCCACCCCCTTCCCTCTCGTTCTCAAGAAACAAACGGGTCTGGTGCCGCTTCCGAGCAATAACAAGAGTGATTGTTGGGCGATAATGTTCCTCATATATGGCCATCTTCAAATTTAGTAACTCTTCATTGAGAACCATAGCAAATTGGCCTTCACTTACACCATCACGGAAGACCACAATTTTCTTTGGCTTCACTTTGTTAAGCTGAGCGTAAGTGTTGACTAGATCCAAACACATGGTTCCAAAATTAAGAATCTTCTCCTTCCGGTGGTTTTGGGGGCAAACCCGAGCAGCGTACCGATTGGCAGCAGGCCAATTCATTGTTGCAACAACTGCAGCTATTGACGGGCATGTTGAATTCCGTGCAGCGGGGTGGTTGACATCAGCCCCAACAAACATAACAGGTTCTTCACCCTCAAATCGAGGGAGCCGTTCGATAAGTTCTACATTGCTGCCCCCAAGCTTGGCATTAATCTTGAGAGCAAGGTTTGCAAGATACTGGTCATTACCTTTGTTGGCATAACTTACTAAGCAACATTGAGTAATTACACCAACCTGGATTTCAGAGACCCATTTAAGATACTTGTAGCCGGGATGCTTTGCAGTCATCACACAGACTACAATTTGCAAACCACCCTTACATTTCCTACTAGCCTCCTTAACTACACCTTCAAAAAGTTCTTGAAGCCCACCGAGACTAGAGAATTCATGCATGCCAGTGAAACGGCACACAACAGGCTCCTCCATGCGGACACCTAGATTTCTGCATCTATTTCTCAAATTCTGAATGAAATTCCCAGAGTTCAGTTTATAACGATCAAATGAACTAAAGTCTATTAAGGCCCATCGCTCGACCAGTATGCCTTCAACCACATATTTCCCAACAATATTCCACTGACACTTCTCCCTGTCAACTTTGATCTTCTTCATATTCCCACTCGGACTACGTACCTTCAAATCGGGTGGCTGGATAACACGACCTAACACTCTTGTTATGTTCTTCTCAACTGCGATATCAAAATTTCGAGCGACCTCTCTGCAAAGATCCAATAAAGGAATTGACATCTCCCATATCAATTGAAGCATCATATGTAACCGCACAAAAGTAACAAAATATACAACATGAAGACAGTATTTGCAACCTCACAATTCATGCAATGTAAATCATCAAATGGAAAACTGGTGGTTGTAATGCAATAAACTCAAAGCTCCAATGTATACTAATGGTCATCCGACAAATAGTCAATACTAACACCAATTTCTCCATGTCTTGAAAATACTGTAGTCTCAGAATATGTGAACCACCCAGAAATTGCACAACAAAAGTAGTATTTGAACCTCATAAAGGAGTTGAGGGCTTTGGGCTGTGGGCGAAGGAGAAATACTCCAAAAATGAAGGAGACGTTATTTTATTTTTTCCAAAATGGCTTGAACTATGAGGATTGAGGATCATTTTATGAAGCAACATTGGAAATATTACAATTTATATATTATGCTACAAAAAAAGTAGAGGCTTAAGAAACACTGAAAAAACCTTCATCGTGCTACAAAAAGACAGAGGCTTTGAGTAAAATTATGCACAAATGACTTTAGAGAAACAACAGTTAATACAACACGCCATATAATACAAAACAATTGAGACATTTAAGTAGAAATACATACCCACAAGGTCCATCCTCAGCTTGCACCATCTCACAGATAGTTTTCTTTCTTTCCTTTGGCGGAGCCAGTGATATCTTCTTCAATAACAGACCCGTGTCTCTATCCAGTTGCTCCTTCGGGTATCTCTGCCCCTCTACCAAAATACAGAATTCCATAGGCACATAATTTTTCTTATTACTTCTCTCCAAATCTAAACAGGGGATATCCTTGTACATAATTTCCTTGTTATATTTCTCCCTGAAATATTCGACAACGCCAATTTCCCTTGGTGAATTCTTACCCTCTCGATCTTCAAGAATGAATGTAGTATGTCTCGTATTTTTACTAGTCAACCCTTCGATAGTGTACTTCTGCTTGGTGGCACGGTGAGTTACAGTAACTTTTAATCCTTCTAACGCACTTGTCACTTCTCTTATCAACCTTTTGACATCGTTTACTTCTCGAAAACCTCGAACATGCTCCTTAAGGAAGTCTATGACTGACAGTCGCTTGCGAAATGCCCACACTGAATAGTCCAAGCACAGAGCTAGACCCTGGGAGGTGGCCTTTAGACCCTGTTGAAAGCCTCTAAAAGCTGCTATGCCACAATAAAGGTCATCTTCCGCCATGAATTCTCTAGAATAAAAGCTCCGACCAACAGATATCCTATTCCTAGAAGGATTCTCCTTCATTACCAAATCCATCCCTTGTAATATATCACGAGGGATATACGGCAGCTTTCCACTCAAGTAGTCCTTTAGCTTGCAAAACTTGAGCTCATTTACTAACTTAATAGTAAATGTATACAAGCGGCTCTTCTTGTCATCACCATCAGACAACTCCACCTTGAAATGCCCAGTGGGCAGCGACACTGCACTGAATATGTTCTTCTCACCATCATATGCAGTCATTTGCAAAGGAAATCGAGTGGGATTATCAGAGAATAGCTTGTCCCTGATCAAACGCAGATCAGATTTCGGAATTGATTTCCTTGAAGAGTGAGTGCTGAGAGACATATCTGGTTTAATATCAACGTCATAGTGCAAAATGGTGCTCTCTGGATTGAATCTGACTGGAAAATGGTTGGCAAAAAGCCTTGCCGACCTGACAGCAAGCGTGCCCCCTTTGTCCGGCCGTTTTATGGGGAAGACTCTCTCTGTACTTTCCACAATAGTCGACGGAGACTTCTGTTCTGAAGAAACAATCAGCCACCTCTTTGAGTTTCCATCAATAAATAATCTATATAACTCAAAAAGTGTACGAAACTTGTGCTAATTACACACTAAATAAATAATTTCTCTAAAACAAAGAGAGCGTATGGAGCAAAGATATTCTGAGAACAAAAAAACCCACAATCAACGACATAATTACAGATGCAAATTGTAGTTAAAGCTACAAACCAGTGCTTTCATGTCATCAGAAGAGGTTGAAACCAACCAAAATTTGGAAAAATCAAGATGCCCATAGTCTGGTACATCAGGAGTATTGTATCATGTATCGCATGATACGATACAAATCGATACACTTAAGCGATACGTATTGTTTCATCATAAATCGCAACGTATCGTATGCGTTATATTACATATTGTACGATATTAACAATTATGATCACGATTACTCGTAACCCCAAAAATGAGCATAAACTAAGTAGCCATATTATAACCACAACTAAGCCTACAATAGTGTATCTCAATTCCAATGATGCCACCAATTTAAAAGAGACCATTCAGCCATAAAGATATTCCTCTTCCCATTATTCCTTCCACAACCACCATATCCTTTGTAGTTAAATAAAAGTTTTATATTGTGAAGCAAATAAACTAATAGGATAAAAAAATATATACTATAGTCCCTAAACCAAATAATGTGTTAGTTTGGTCTCCGATCTTTCAATTGCATCAATTTGATTCTTCTAAGTATTCAATTTGCTTTACTTTTGTTCAATCAAAAATGGTGGTTTAACTATGAGAGATGGTCACGTTTATCCCACATGACCAAATTAACACAAAACACATACTTTGGGACCAAAAATATATTTTGCCTTGTTTTTTTACTGTGCAAAATCTCAGTCTCTTGGCGATAATTCCAAAAAAAGGTAGAAAAGAAAAAGGAAAAGACCACCTCACACGCCTATAGTACTAAATTGATACATAATAACTAGGAACAAAATGTCACGCCCACCAAAATTCAGTGACCATACACGTTAAGTTAAATTAAAATCATTCAAGTCAAACAAGTATGGTATGAACTTTCAAGGCAATATGTAACCTTAGCAACAAAGAGCACTAAATAAAAGATAATTATTTATGATCCATGCCTTTTTTTTTTTTATTGGACAAGTTGCTTAATCAAACGAAAAATGAAGTGGAATGTTCCAAATCAATTCATCAGATATAGCAAGAGTATTTTTTTTTTAAGGAGAGACACAAGCATAATCAAGCACATAAATATTTACTACTTACCCAATATCAACAACACAACATAGTAAACTACCAACACCAATTAGTCAAATTCTATACACCATCCCTAAAAAGGGTATAACCTATGAAGGAATGGGTAGGAACTTATCAACCAACCTGCAGATGTGACAAGATGTACTAAAAATTAAAATAGTCTTCACTCTAGTTCTAACCAATATAGAATTCAACCCAACCCAATCAGGACTTCACCATAAGCAGGATGACAATCGTCTCGTGTTGTGTCGTGTTTGTGTCAATTTTGTATCATGTTATTACAAATTTGTGTAGAATTTATCTTTATATTCATGTTGATCCATTTAAACATCGAACAAAAAATTTAATGCTAAGATTTAAGTTTAAAATTCTATTATCAATTAATTGAATACATCGTCGTACTTTTTTTATAAATTAAAAATTAACTTGATAAACATAACAATAATAATGAGTAAAAATATATTTTTTGTATAATAATTATGTCAATACTTAATAAATAATAATAAATAATTAACATTTTATTTCTATAATATTAGTTAAATGTATTAATCCTGTCAATTTTGTATTATTCGTATTTGATACTAGCTCAATATTTTATTATTGGTATTAACAGATCGTGTTATTTACAAATTTGTGTCGTAAAATAATCAAATTTCACTAATTTTGTGTCGAATTCAAGATGTGTTGTGTTTGCTCCTTGGAGACTAGTGCTTAAATACATATTAGTATAAGATGCAAACTAAGATCAAAGCAAAGAGATATAACAGGAAGAGTTTGCTCAGGAACCCTTTCATCCTGAGTCTGGTATTGAAGCTGACCAGGCACAGAAGTGGGACGCCGCCGGAATCGCCTTCCTCTACCAGCTGCTCCACCATACCCACCTCTTCCACACCCTTCAGTTGGCTCCGCCCTCGTGGGCCACACACCGTGACCTATCTCTTGCGGTGGTCTGCGACCCTCACCACCACCCTTACCGGTCTGACCCGGACGAATAACCCATTGGTCCCCACCGTTCTGAATGGGACTCGTACCCGTACCCCTCCCTCTTCTACCACCACGATCAGCACCACCTTGATACTGATCCTGCTGCTGGTACTGTTGATTTGGGTAGTTCCCAACGTGACCGCCACCACCACGACGGCGACCACCACCACGATCACCACCACCTTGATGCTGATCCTGCTGCTGGTAATGTGGGTGTGGGTAATTCCCATCTCTGCAGCCGCCACCACGATTATGACCACCACCACGATCACCACCTCCGTAGCCGCCACGGCCGGCACCACCACTTCCACGGTTGTAGTTACTTCTCTCCATGGACTCAGCAAAGAAACACACTTACCCCCCCTCCACTACAAAACTGATGACTTTGGGAATGGGTTAGGTTAGGTGCTTTGTGTTTTTATATTGAGTGAAGTGGGTGGTATGAAACGACGGAAATGAACTTAGCTGGAGATTATTGTATGATTTGAACAGTGTCAAACATATGGGAAGAAGGGTAAAAGAAGACAATGCAAGGAAGGAAGAGATCATAGTTTTGGTTGGGGAGTGGAGTGGAGGAACAATCTGGGGTATTCCAGAGTGATCGATGAAAACGAGGTGTGGGCTTTTGAAATAGTAGGCAAATTCAGAGGAAGAGACGAAGCAATTGACGTGGTGATGTTCATAACGAGAAAATATTCGATGATAACATGTGATTATGAAGGCGACGTAATATTACGTGAGAGAGAGACTTATAGCTAACAAATTAGGTTTTCATCGACAGGTTTTTTCATGTCATAGAACCACCAGAAATTGCTCACGTAAAACAAATTATGAGGGCGACGTAAAACAAATTAGGGTTTTTATGTCATAGAACCACCGGTCACAGTCACCGCGTATTCGTCCGAATTTTTAATAGAGCTACGAACAAATTGTTTTTCAAAATATATATAATTAAAATTAAATATTAATTAATATAAAAAATTTAAATCACTAAATATACTGCTATATTTAAATTATTTAATAAAACAGAAATGCGCTTATAGTGACGCAGAACAATATAATAATATAAATAAGAATCTAAAAAATACAAAATAATTCAAGTCATGTGTAATTCAGTTTCTTAAAATATATTTGCTCTCTCTTGGTGCTCAAAATTATAAGTAACTATCTTCCAAGATATAACGGATTTCTATTTCTGAAAAACTATCATTTCAATCTTCAGAATTCCAATGAACACAACTCTGTATTTATACTTGAACTGAATAAAAATATAATGCAGAAAGAGAAAAAGAGATATGCAACATAATGCAAAAGATTACTGTCTATTTTCGTACTGGGAAATGACTATATGGCAGTCTATTCATAGACTATTAGTGGCTGTTTGGATTGCCTTAAGAGGCACGGGATACCACTGTTCATTGAATCAGTTTAGATTGAAGAGATACATATTTAATCTGATCAGTAACGAAAGGGAAAAACACCACTCGGAAAGAACAGACAGAAATCAATTTCGTCGCCAAATTTAATAATTAATGAACAAAAAATTTAAAAATCTGTTTGGATATTTAAATTTCAGTTGGAAGATTAATTGTGACCCGCGTTTGGATATGTTTGAAATTGACCCACAACTGACACTGCACCGAATAAATTTTCTCTAAAAAGATAATATCTTTTTGATCCAAGTCCAAACTTGAGCGGGTTGGGTTGTGGTTGTGGCGAGTCGGGGAGCGCGTGCACATGATAACCAAGGTTGTGTAGGTGTTTGCCCTGCTCACAAAAGTGTGGTACCTCTTGGGGCCCAACCCATATGATTATATTAACTCACAAAGTTTTTTGTCTTTTTCCAATGTGGGACAAGTGTTATACACTACACTTTATTAAACTTAATTTATTTCTTTCATTCAAGTGGGTCACTTTGAGACATAATTTATCATTCAATACTTAATGGTTTTGCATAAATAAATATATCACGTTAATCTCCTCACTGAGGAGAACACGTTTAAATTTAGTCCCACCAATTTTGAAGTGTGGGTTTCACTCATACTTATGCCCAAAGTTATTCATAATAACTTATTTAAAAACTATTTTTCCAACAATCTCCCACATGAATGAAAATTCAATGTATAAAAATGCAGGCTCTATTTCAAGTATAGTTGAATATTATTGTACCAAGATAAATAGCCTAGTTGTCTTAAACTTTCTATAGTGAAAGACTACCGGATTTACTTAGATAATAAGTGGACTTGATGTTTTTGAATTGTCAGCTGTATGTGTAAACCAAGACAATAGAAGTCACAAAGTTTTCCTTCAAACATAGTTGGTTCTCTCGTTTGTGTTTATTTTGGCCTTGAACACAGTTTCATAAGCAAATTAGAGTAGTTAGCTTACAATTCTCATAGAAGTTACCCCTTCTTACCCACATAGGTTATTTCTGACTGAGAGTATCATGCTATATCCTACTTGGACTTTTCCAAGTTACAGAAATCATTAAAAACATAATTTACCATAGTTCTTGCAGTAAATATTTACTATCTCATCATAGGAATGGGAAGAAGTTAAAAACTTCCTCAGTGCGTCTCTGAGTTACATATAATTTGATTGTATCTTTGAACTTAGATCTTGAGATCTTTAATCAACTAAGTTGGGTTGCCATTATGGTAAATTTTTGTTAAATAATAGACTATAAGCCTATTCCCCTTGATGAACTTTCTACTTGTTCTCTAGTAAACTTTTTGTAAACGGCTCCGCAATTTTAACATTTGACTTCATGTACTTAATAGATATAATATCATTCGAGAGTAACTGTCTAACGGTATTATCTCTATGGCGTATGTGTTGAGACTTACCGTTATACATGTAATTTTGTATCCTTCCAATCGTAGATTGACTATCATAATGTATACATATTGCTGATACAGACTTTGACCAATTTGAAATATCTTCTAAGAAGTTGAGAAGCTATTTTTTTTTCTCCAACTTTATCTAAGACAATGAATTCATGTTTCAATGTAGATCTAGTGATAAATGTTTACTTTGAGGATTTTCAAGACACAATTGTACTGCCAAATGTAAAGATATATCTAGTAGTGGATTTTAAATCTTTAGTATCAAATATCCAGTTAGCATTAGTATATCCCTCGAGCACAATTGAGAATTTTGTAAAATGCAAACCATAAGTTTGGATATATTTTAAATATCCCAATAACCTTATTGTTGATTTTCAGTGGTCTTTTCATGGATTACTTATATATCGACTTAGTTTACTCATAAAGTATGCTATATTCAGACGAGTATAATTAATGTTATACATTAAACTACTAATTTTATGTGCATATTCTAATTGAGATATATTTTTACCATTATTTTTAGAGAGATGAATATTAACATCGACAGGTGTTCTCAGAGATTTTATCTCATACTTTTTGAACTTATCAAGTACTTTATCAATATAGTGAGGTTGAGATAAAGTGAGTCCATCTAACATTCTAGAAATTTTAAGTCCTAGCGTCAACAACACCTAGGTCTTTTATTTCAAACCTATTTGTTAACATCCATTTGGTAGTTTTAATGACATCATTATTGTTGCCTATAATTAGCACATCGTCTACATAAAAACATATAATAACGTATTCACTATAAGTGCTTTTGACATAAACGCATTTGTCACAATCATTTATTTTAAACTCATTTAACAACATTGCCTTGCCAAATTTCACACGCTACTGCTTTTGTGCTTGTTTTAAACCATAAAGAGATTTAAGAATCTTGTATACTTTCCTTTCTTGTCCATTGACAATGAATCATTCAAGTTGTTTCATGTATACTTCTTCATCTAATTCACCATTTAAGAATGTTATATTTACATCTATTTGATGTATCCCAAGATCATTCAAAGTTGCTATAGCAATTAACATCCGTATGGATGTTATTTTAGTAACTAGTGAATAAATGTCGAAATAATCCTACCATTCCCTTTGTTTATATCCTTTGGTTATATGTCTAACTTTTACTTGTCAATGGATCCATCGACTTTCATTTTCTTTTTAAAGATCTATTTACAGCTTAAAGGTTATTACTTGGTGGAAGATCCACCAATTCTCATGTATGATTTCTCATAACGGATTCAATTTTAGAATTAACAGCTTCCTTCCAATAAGGAGTTTCGACGGAGGACATAACTTCATTGAAATTTTGAGGATCATTCTCTAATAGATAAGTTAGAAAATAGGACTAAGTCCTTTTGCTACGTCTAGATTCATCTTCTATGAACTTCTTGTCTATATTGACTTGACCATTACTAGTCATAATATCAAATGGTCTCTTTAATGAGCTTGATTCATGTGACATATTACACAAAAAAGCATTTTCAAAGAATGAAGCAATCATTGATTCAATAATTGTATTTATATGTATGTCAGAAATCTTAGATTTATGAACAAGAAATCGATATGCATTACTGTTATGTGCATAACCAATGAATATACAATCAATGATTTTAGTTTCTATTTAACACTTTTAGGTTTTTGAACTGTCACTTTTGGTGGACATCCCATACTTTTAAGTATTTATAGGAAGGTCTCCATCTTTTCCATAACGTATATGGTGTTTTATTTGTTTTTTTGTGAGACATTTTGTTAAGAATATAATTAGTAGAAAGTAAGGTTACCCCCCCACAAGTTTTGGTGTACACCCAAATTTGATAGCTTAGCATTCATCATTTCTTTTAATGTTCAAATTTTGCATTCAACTACGACATTTGATTGTGGTGAATAAGAGGTCGTAGTTTAGTGAATGATTCCTTATGTTGAACAAAAATCCACAAAAGGAGATTAATATTCATCTCCCCTATCACTTCTCAATGCCTTAATTTTGTCTACTAAGTTAATTCTCAATTTCATTTTTATAATTCTTGAACATATCAATTGCTTCATCTTTACTTCTAATTAAGTAACCATAACAGTGTCTTGTGTAGTTGTCAATAAAAGTAATAAAATACTTTTTACCACCTATAATTTGCACAAATTTTAAGTCACAAATGTCACTATGAATTAATTCAAGAGGTTCGGTACTTCTTTCAATTGATTTGAAAGATGTTCTTGCCAACTTTGATTTTATACAAGTCTCACACTTTTGATTTGTATCAATAAAATATTTAGGCAAATCATTCAAATTAATTAATCTTCTAATAGTATCATAATTAAAAAGTTTTAGTGTAGCATGCCATGTATTTAAAGTTTCGAGCAAGTAAGAAAAATTATTCTCATTCTTATTAATTGGGTACAACAATCATTACATTGAGCTTAAAAAATCCATCATTCAAGTACCCATTTCCT